GTGTTACCACATTTCATTGCTTACATCGTTAGTCATAGAGAAAAGGAACTCGTGGTTAAGAACAGCTGCGCGGTTCCATAGATCTGCGAGATTAAGTTGCACTTGCCGCGTTCAGTCCATGAATCAGTGACCATTTTCTTAACATACCGAGATTGAGAGAATAAAGAGTGCATCTGTATCCTGAGACACTTGGAGCACTTTATTCTGTTAATATCATTATGTTTTCAGTATTTCTGTACCTAAAATGATAATACGTTTATTATTATTTTATACTTTTCAGGAACAGATGAAAGAATATGAACATGAAGCATGATGAAGCCTTAAAAGCATATTGGCCTTTAAACAGAGCTATCTTACTTAACTGATTCCATGTTTCCTTACTTAAATTATTAAGTTTACATTCATATTTAAGTCGCATGTTAAAATAAATTTCTATAATTTATTAAATTATAAATTATTAAATGTTTGCAATTATCAAAAGTAATAATACTTACTTACTTACTTACTTATCTTCACGCACAATCCCTGACGGGGTAGCCAGAGAGAACAGATCGCCAAGTGTCATGATCCTTACAAACCTCTTTCGCTTCTTTCAGATTCATTATCTTCTTCATGCATGCACGTCTAGGTATCCGAGTACTCTTGACGCTACCCTCTTCGAGCAATTTGCTCACATGGTCTTCGAAAGTTAGTCTCGGTCTACCTCGACACCTTTTAATATTAACTTTCGCGCTATATATTTTCTTCACCATTCGGTCTTCACTCATTCGCTCAACGTGCCCAAACCACCGAAGCACGCCCTTATCAATTTTTGTGATAAGGTCATCTTTCAAACCTGCTATATTGTGAATCTCTTCGTTTCGCTTTCGGTCGGCCATGGTAACGCCGCACATTTTACGAAGAGATCGCATCTCCACTGCATTCAACTTACTTTTATGCTTCTTCTGGCATATCCAGGTTTCGCTGCCATATAACAAAGTCGGTACCAACACTGCGTTATGTATTGCAAGGCGTGCACTCTTCGCTACGCCTTGCCTTTTGACTAACGTAGTCAGGGCACCATTGACTTTGTTCCCGGCAGCGACACGCCTGTCCACATCTAAATCACATCTTCCATCCCGGGTAAAAGCACTCCCCAAGTATACAATTTCATTTACCTGTTCTAGACATTCCTGATTTACCCATATTTCACACTTCGTTCTCTCTTCGTCCCTTTCAAATACCAGAACCTTAGTTTTATTAGCAATCAAACGGAGACCTTTAATTTCACATTCCTCTTTCATACACGTGACTAATGCCTGCAGTTCTGCCTCTGATGGTGCAATAAGCACTGCATCATCAGCATACAGCAGACAATTTACTTTAATGTCACCCAATTTCACACCCAAACAGCTATCTTTCAGCTTCTGTAAACAGCTGTCGAGATACAGTATGAACAGCCAGGAAGACATGAAACACAACCCTGCTTTACGCCCGTTTGGACGTTAAACATGGGTGACAGGTCATGCCCTACCCGCACACAGGCTTTACAGTCACAGTAAAGAGACTGCACAGCCCTTAGCAATCGACCATCCACACCATACCCCGGCAACAGTTCCCACATTTTCTTCCTTACAACCTTATCAAATGCTTTCTCAAGATCCACAAAAGCACAGAAAATCTTCTGGTTAGCAGCCAGAAGCTTTTCCGTGATCATGCGGAGAGAAAACATTTGATCCGTGCATCCTCTTCCAGGTCTAAATCCGCATTGTGCCTCCCATAGAAATCTTTCCGATTTCTCTTGCATCCTACGTGTCAAAACCTTCGAGTAAACTTTACTTGCTAAACTGGTCAAGCTGATCGCCCGATAGCAACCGCAGTCAAAATGTGAACCTTTACCTTTATATAAAGGCACAATTACTGCGGATCGCCAATCATCCGGGACATCCCCCGTCCGCCAGCACAAATTGCACAGCAGATGAAAGCTGTCCCAGACGCGAGGCCCACCATACTTGACCATTTCAGCAGTAACTCTGTCTAGTCCCGCAGCTTTACCACATTTCAAACTTCGAATCGCACGTTCAATCTCTTTCATACTGATGACCTCAGTGTCATCGAGGTCCGGGTCTGGCGTACCAGTCACGGAGTCATCCCCGGATCCCTCACTAAGATCATCACACGCATACTATTCTCTATAAAATTCGCTCCATCGCTGCATGACGTCCGATTTTTCTGAGAGGACGTCATTAGTTCTCGAAAGCACTTTGTTCATTCTTAAGGCCGTCGCACCACTTCGGGTCCTTCCAACCTCTTTCCAGAAGAGTTTGGAGTTCTCCTTAAAGTTGTGCGACAACCTTTCGTCTGCTTCCATTCTACACCTTTCATGCACTTCCTCAATCAGTGCTTTCGTGTGAACTTTCTGCAGCCTATATATTTCTTTCATCTTCTCTCTCATATCCTTATCATTACTAGAGGCCAAGTAGTCTAACCTTGCTTTCTTCTTCTTCTTTACAGCTTCTTTCACTTCATCATTCCACCATGCATCTCTTCTTTTACTACTGCCTCTTTTAATTGTTCCACACACTTCTTCCGCTGCACTTACCATTCCATCCCTAAGGTTCTGCCATGTTCTTTCTACACATTCTTTTCTGCCTTCGATGGTGTCAAGCTTTTCGGCTACCCTCGCATGATATTTGTCCCTAGTATCCGCTTCCTGAAGCTTCCAGCTTCGGATGCGACAGACCGAATGTGGTTCTGTTACTGCCGTCCGGTAGCGCCAACCCGCGAACAGACCCCTAAATCTAGTAATCACTAGATAGTGATCCGTTCCCAGGTCAGCACCCCTGAACACTCGCGTATCCATCACCTGTTTTCGCAGTCGGTCATCCACCAGGAACAAATCGATCATACTTCTCTCATTCTTTCGTTCTCTAGTATACATATGAATTTTCTTGTGATTAAACATAGTGTTTGTCACAAGAAGACCCTTTTCCTTGCACACCGCCAGTATAAGCTTGCCAGCATCATTAACCCTTTTATCGCCAAACTTTCCAAGTACCGACTCGTACCCTGGTCGAGCGGTACCAACCCATCCATTCAAATCACCACATACAACAATTCTTTCGTTTCCCCTAGCCAAATCTAGAACTTCTCTTACATTCTCCCAAAACTCCTCCAGCTCAGCCCTGGACGACGAAGCTACCGGCGCATAAACAGCCAAAAGGAATAACTTCGTCAGTCCCAATTTAAAGCGAACCCAGAGAAGTCTTGAGTTCACAACCTTATATTCAGTCATAACATCGACCAACCGAGAAGACAGCAGCACCCCCACTCCCTGGCAGGCGTTCTCGCTCTCCGGGATTCCGGACCATAGAGCTAACGCCCCGCCAGGGAGCTCTTCAGTACCACTGCCCTTCCGTTTGATCTCCGACATACACACGACATCTAATTCTCTTTCTTTCATTATTTCGATCAACTCATTCGTCTTATCTCTCATGCCTCCTCTAACATTCCACGTGCCAACTCTGCACTCTGTCCTCCACCTTCCTTTTTTTTTCATATAAGTAATAATACTTATATGAAAAATAAAACATTCATTATGTTCTCCCGTGTCGTCCCCCTTTTCTATTTCCCCATCAAAACATTTTATAAAATATATAAAAAATAAATAGGTATTTTTAGAAACTACTTCACTTCTGATGTTAGGAATTATTCTCAAAATGATTTAAATAAAATAATGTTACTCGTGTTAGAATTTACTCTGAAGGTTAATTGTTAAAAATAATAAAAGTATGAGAAACTACTACACGAATAGAACCACATCACTTGTCTTATTTAGGCAGAATCTCAGTGTAGAAGTAATATTTTAGCCCAACTGGCATAATAACGATATGAGACTCGTAGAATTACAGACTGACTGATCGCGCTTAGTCAACTGTGTGATACTTTATACTGCTAAAACAAGTTGGAGATTATAGTTCTACCTTCAATATTTCTTATTTTATTTTATTTTACCCTCATTCCTAACAGTATATACCTATTTAAATTAACAATATGTTAAAAAAGAAATTCCGGGGAAACTGTCCATGGCAATAAATATTTTTCTCCAAAAATCGTAACTCGAAAATACAAATTTACGATCTGATTCTTAGGAAGTTTTTTTTTAAGTTTATCGGTAGATTTTTTTTTAAATATTCACAGGAACTATGAATATTTTTTATTATTTTAGAACTATCGTGGTATAAATTCAGTTATTTTTGGAGTTATTCAATTTTGTGCACTAAACTAATTTTTAAATGTTTTTATCGCTTCCTTAATAATTATTTTTAGATAGTCCTTATAAGTAAAATATACATCACTCGCTAACGCACACAATGACAAATCAAAATTAGTTACGCGTGCGCTAGCACTTCTTACTAGTTTGTGGTTACGCGTTTTCTGGCTGTCAGTTCGTCTATACGCTAGTATATTCTATGATTCTAAGTCTATGTTTCATACTAACTCGGCAATTTTGCTTACCGAACACGGCAATAGAAAATTTGGCCCTGGCAACACGTCATTTAATTGTCATTGTCATTTGACGTAAAGAGTTTGGAGTGTTTTGTGTGCACTATAATTTCGTTGCAATCCAAAAAGTGATTTTAGCTTTATCATAATAGTTTAATTCATGTAAGATATATACAGTAAGAAAGAATAATTGATCTGTTACACATTCCGTCCAGTGAAACATTGGAAGTTTTGTAATATTTTCGGCAGAAGTCAACGTGAATTCGGGCGTCGACCGGTTCATCCCTCCTACCCGTAATAACCGTTGCGATTCTGTCATTCAGTCGTGCTCGTGTCAGTCGGTCTCAATCGCTATTTTGTACGTGTCGTATCGCAATATCGGCACAAGACGAACTTACGGGTGGCTTTAAAAAACTAGTGTTGTGTGCAGTGTCGGTAGGGGCGTGCGTTTAATGTGGTATTCAGCGCCGGTTTTAGGTTATCGTAAGTCGGGTCGCGCGGCGTGATTGAGCGCGATGGTGGACATGGATAGGAACGACCCGGAGCTCCGGTACCTGTCGGTGGACCGGAACAGCTTCAATGATCCGGCTACACAGGCGGAATGGACTCAGAAACGTTTAGTGTGGGTACCCCATGAGACCCAGGGTTTCGTAGCAGCAGGAATAAAGGGAGAACGGGGAGATGAAGTCGAGGTGGAAATAGCGGAGTCTGGCAAGCGAATGTTGGTGCCTATAGATGATATCCAAAAGATGAACCCACCGAAATTTGACAAAGTGGAGGACATGGCGGAGTTAACCTGCCTTAACGAGGCTTCCGTGCTGCACAACATCAAGGACAGATATTATTCTGGCCTAATTTATGTGAGTATGAAATCATTTTTTAACATTTTGATTTTAACCGTACCCTAAAGTGTCTTAAGAACAGGGTTGGCTGATTTAAATCACGAATTAAGTCGCTTGATTTTGATTAAAAAAATCATTGATTTAAATCAACATGTATAAATTAATGTAATAAGCAGAAATCGAAATAATACTGGCTTAACATAAGGTAAAATCTTTTATTGTTTTATGTTATTCTTATTATTCTACTACAATAGTCTCATAAACTTTGGAAAATCAACAAAGACGTAGTGGTGACGTCTGTCAGTCTCATAAACTTAGTAAAATCAACCAAAAATCTTTTTTTTGAAATTCACCCTTAATATATGAACTGTAATTAATACAGTATTAATTATTTTATTCATACATATGTATTCATAAACTTTTAGTCCTACTACGTCAAAAAGTGTTACCAACTCGTGAGTTTCAAAATATACTATAAAAATCAAAAAAGTCAAAAAATTCAAAAAAATCATGATTTTTTTAAAAAAATCAGCATGATTTGATTAAAATTGAAATAATCATGATTTTTTCCATCCCTGCTTAAGAAAGTTACTGTTATAAAGGAAACAAAAGGAAATTTTTCTTTTACATTTTATAAAATTAGTACATATGTAACAAGTAACCTTTGCTCATATCATATAATTATGTTGGAAAATAAAGGTATAATTTTGCGAGCTATATATGATGAAAGCTTAATGTTGTTTCAGCATTCTGCTTTTAATCACTATAATTTAAGGAATTGAAGTGTATAACTCTGCTCCAAGCTAGATCAAATATGCATATTGAATAATTGCTTTGGTGTTTAATTTAACACTTTAGTTCCTTTCTTTATTAACTTTAAAGCAATGTATAGAATTTGAAGTTCACAGAAGTTTTAAACAAGGCTAAATGAAATTAAAAAAAATTGCCTTTAAATGTACATTATATGCAGTCATTACAGAATATGCAGTCAGTAAGTCACACACCAGTATAGATTTTGACATATTCAACTGCTGGGTTGGCTTCACTGTGGATGAACTTTACTTGCCAATTTAAAAATTTCATTAAAATAAAAAGTACAGGTGAGAATAAACCAAGTGAAGTTAATTTTAATGATATGGTTAATTTAAATGATGTCTTCTTGCAAAAGCTTCTAAAGATTCAGCAAGTGCTTAGTATGATAGTTGTTTAAATAATAATATAGCATGGTCTAAATAAATTACTGGTTATTCCATTTGTTGTAGGTTATAGAAATTATGTTTGGTTGGTGATTAAGTTAAGTGATATGGAGAATTAAGTAATATGAAGAATATGCAAAAATCTTAAAAAAATAACTGTAAATAGAATTAAAAGGAACATAATATTAAAATTAAAATAAACTATTAGGAAATTTTATTTTTAAAAATTTCATCATGTGAGCTTCCCGAATGCAAGCACTCATCACATCTATGGGCTAAATTTGTGAACACTTACTAGCACATTGTGTGATGAATGTAGGCAATTTCTCCTTGAATATTTCTTTTTAAATGGCCTGTTGGTTTGTAAATGTAAACTCAAATTTTCAAGTACTTATCTCTAAAAGATACTACAAGGAGACCAATATCGCTTTGGTGTAATAACAGTTTTCATAAGTCCATGCACAATATGTTGCTCCTTCTTCTTGAAATCATGTCAAATACTTATTGTGAAGAGAAAAATTCATGTTACATTTTTATGTACCTGTCATTTCAGATTGGCCTTGAAACTTTGTAAAGAAATAGGTGTTAATGATTTTTAGGGTTCCATATCCAAAGGGTAACCAACGGGACCCTTATTACTAAGCCTCCACTGTCCGTCTATATGTGTAATAGACCATTGAAATTTTCATAGAATGTGTATTTCTGTTGCCACTATAACAACAAATAATGAAAATTAAAATAATGTAAAAATTAAAGGGGACTACCCTACTTGAAACTTGTTTTATGATGGTATGGAACCCTTCATGTGCGAGTCTGACTCTTACTAAAAATTTTACTTTTGGTGGAATGTAAGGGTTTTTGATGTTTTGATGTTTTGATTTTATGATGATTTGTACTGCTCAATAAAAACAATGTTGTATGTTGTCAATATCGATGGCAGCAAAGTAGAAACGGACATCTACATTTTTATGAAAATGCTTTTTTTTTTACAAAAATGAACTTAACCCTTAAAGCGGCAAAGCACTAATAACACATAATTTTGTGTTCAAAAATCTATTTTTATGTATTGTTAGGGATGTAATTAAATGTAAATATAAAAGAAAAAGAAAAAACATTTATTTAGAAGGTTTTTTTAATGTCCCATAAAACGGACAGCACTGCATACGTAAAAATCAGCTCTTTTATTTAGCATCCTAGAAAAAGGACAGTGCTGGATACTCTATATATTAGAAACATTGACATATTAAATAACAATTCCATTTATAAATATACAAAAGCGTGGGGTTCAAGACGAGAACAAGGCCTTAAAATATGCACATTCAATGTGAGATCCCTATCAACAAAAGAAAGAACTTTAGAACTAAATAATGCAATAGAAAAAATAAAATGGGACATCATAGGACTCGCAGAAGTTAAAAAGATAGGATATATCACTGAAGAACATAAAGACTACATATTCTGTTATATAGGAGAGACACAGGGACTTCATGGCGTAGGCTTCTTAATAAAGAAATCACTAAAAGGCAACATATTAAGCTTTTTGGGAATATCAGAGAGAGTGGCTCTGTTAAAACTGAACTTCGAGGAGGGACCACTATCGCTGACAAGTATATTCTCCCACTGATAGTTCAAGTGAAGAAGAAATCACAAAATTCTACAATGACTTAACAAGAGCGCAAGAACTGGCTAATAAAAAAAGGTTAATCATTGGAGATTTTAATGCAAAAATTGGACAACCTAAACCTCATGAAAATCTTATAATGGGCAAATATGGTTACGGCATAAGGAACGCTAGAGGTGAACGCCTAATACAATATGCACATGAGAACAAGTTGGCAGTGATGAACACATATTTCAAGAAGAAAAGTTTCAGAAAATGGAGATGGATATCACCAGATCATAAAACAAAAAACGAAATTGACTTTATACTGAGCCCCAACCCAAAATCTGTAACTAATGTAGAAGTTCTGAACAAAATAAGCTTCCCGTCTGACCACAGGATTCTAAGATGCTCTATAAAAATTCAAAAACCTAAAATTTGCCGAGAAACATTCAAAACCATGCCCAATAAATTGAACTCCACACATGATAAAAACAACTACATACAAAACCTAAAAAAAGAACTTACCAATATTGCAAGAATTTCTAAAGGAAAATAATACTGTACAATCCTTCAGTGACAAACTGGAAGAAGCAATCAAAAAAAGCCTTAAAATTAATGAATAAGCAAATAATAAACACAAAGAAAAGATCATTAGCGAATACACACAAAATTTAATTGGTAGAAGAACTGCACTTATGTTCACAAAGAACAAGTCCAAAGAAATGAGAGAGGAACTAAAGAAATTGTTCAAACAAACCATATCAATCAAAAAAGATTATACTAACCATAGAAGAGAAATTATAGTAAAAAATATATATACTATCCGTAGTTCAAAAAGAGCCTTTAAAGAATTATCTACGCACAAAAATTGGATACAAAGTGTGAACAGTGAAAAAGGTGAAAATAAAGACAGAGAAGAAGGTATAATAAAATGTGCAATGGCTTTCTATACTTCTCTTTATGCAAAACCACCACATGATATGCCACAAGAAGAAAAATATAATAGTAATATAACTGGAGAAGATATAGCAGAAACACCAGTAAACCCAATAACTGAAATAGAAATATTGACCCAAATCAACTGACAAAAACCAGAAAAGAGCCCAGGCGAAGATAACATCACAAACAAAGCCCTCAAATTCGGAGCGTCAACCCTGGCTGCATATCTAGCAGAATTATTCAATTTAGTACTGGAAAAAGAGCAAGTACCCCATCACAATGGAGTAAATCAAACATAATACAATTGTATAAAAAAGGGAACCTGCTCGATATCAGCAACTATCAATAATATATAAACTCTTTTCATCAATCATCCTAAGAAGAATAGCACCAGATATTGACAAGAATCAGCCAATAGAACAAGCGGGCTTCCTGCCGCACTTCTCAACAGTAGACCACATTCACACAATGGAACAAATAATCGAGAAATATAAAGAATTCAAAAAAACACTCTACATAGCTTTTGTGGACTATTCCAAAGCATTTGACAGCATAGTACACCCATTTATATGTACTGCTCTAAGAAATAATGATTTAAACAAAAAGTATGTAAATATCATAAAAAACATCTACTCTAAAAATGTAAGTAGAGTAAAACTGGAAAGACAAGGGGAAGAGTTCACAATTGGTAGAGGGGTGCGGCAGGGCGACCTATTCTCTCCAAAGCTATTCATAGCTGTATTGAAGACATTTTCAAAAACATTAATTGGGAAAATAAAGGCATATGGATACTCAATAATAAATTAACACACCTAAGATTTGCAGATGACATTGTTCTTTTTAGTGAATCAGCAACAGATTTAGAAGCAATACTACAAAGATCAAACTTTGAAAGCAAAAAAAATCGGTCTACACATGAACACAGCCAAAACTAAAATAATGTCAAACAGTCAAAAGAAAACAATCAAAGTAGAGCAAAAACCGATAGAATATACAAATGAATATGTGTACCTAGGTAAATTAGAGTCTTTTGATGCAAACAGTAACGAAAACGAAATAGACAGACGAATAAGTACAGCATGGAAGAAATACTGGGCCCAAAAAGAAATTCTAAAAGGGAACTATAGTCTTAATATAAAAAGATTATAATGGATTCTTGCATTCTTCCAAGCTTAACTTACGCTAGCCAAACCTGGGTCTTCACCGAAAAAGTCAAAAACAAAATTTCATCTTGTCAACATGCAATGGAACATAGTATACAGAAACTGAGAAAAATACAA